ACACTGTAATTAGAATCCGACAACTTCTCTGCTTCTGTAATGAACCTCACGGCCAGCAAGAAGTTTATCCTTCCACTCACTCCATCCTCAGCAGGGGGCCTGATTTCTTCCCAAAATATGTGTTTGGCATGTATTTCCCACCAAGCTCTGGGAACACTAAGAGGGATCAGACAGAATCTAGTGGTGGAGACACATTGCCTGCCCTGGGCAGTGACTGCTGCGTGCTACTGGCCAGAGGAATCTAGAACTCCTCTCTAGGATTTTTTAAAAAATAAAGCCAAGTCCTTAGTCCTTTGGCGTCCTGAAAGGGGAAGTCAAAACCTTTGCCCACCTATACTTTCTCTGCTTCTCGTCAACAGTTGACTCCTATTTGCTGTCCCCCCAGAAATCTCTGTTAGTGCTACCAAGGTGGGGCTTGAAATGGCAAGAATTAGACTGATTTTTTTAAGATTTATTTATTTATTGGGAAGAGAAAGAGAGAGCAGGGGGAGGGCCAGAGGGAAAGTGAAAGAGAGAATCTCAAGCAGACCCTGAACTAAGCGAGGAGCCCAACATGGAGCTCGATACCACAATCCTGAGATCATGACCTGAGCTGAAACCAAGAGACAAATGCTCAACCGACTGAGCCACCCAGGCACCCTAAGACTGATTTCATTATAGGTGGAGTAGGTGAAAGTGTTCACTCTTCCCTGGGCACACATTTCTGCCTCCCCTTCCAAGAGAGGCTCTGTAGGTATAGATGGAACCTTGTAGGCTGATGTCGGGAGGCCCAGGCTCTGAGCCTAACATGATGTGTGGTCGTGGATTGTCACATTCTCTTTCAGACCTCAGTCTCCTTATCTGCGGTAGACTCCATATGGCCACAAATTCTTTACAGACCTTCCCAGCAGGAGATGGTGTCCTTCCCCCACTGGATCCCAGAGCCAGCCACCCTCCAATCCACATCACATCATCTCCCCTAGATTAGCCATAAGGATCCTGCCAGAGGTTCTCCCACTGTCACTCTGCCCTCAACGTGAATTTCACACAGGAGATCAAATGACGTGAGAACAAGTTAGATCACATCACTCATCTGCCGCACCCCCGCTGATCACAGCCGGCCTCCCTTCCATGACCTTCAAGACTGGCTACCATGTGGCTCCCCACCCACTTCTCTGCCTGTCTCCCCCTTGTTCACACTGTGCCAGGCCCACGTCTGGGACTGTGACCCCAGGACCACACAGCTGGTCCTCTAGAGAGAGCTTGGAGCTGAAAAACAAGCAGAACTTGAGCTGGAAAGCGTATGGGATTGAAGTTTCACTTTAAGATAAACATTCCTCTATCCAGAAGCTAGGGGAGACCAGAAAACTTCTCCTTGAACCTGGCAGGGGGAGTTTTTCTAAGAGGAGGGGAGGGTGGTGGTATGAACAAGGCTGGGCTTCCAGAAACACGGTTTCTGGTGGACGCTAAGGGGTCAGAAACCTGGGCTGTCGTCCTGCGTCTGGCCAGTGAGTAGATGAGGGAGTCCCCAGTTCGGATGCTGTAACTGCATTTGATTAATTTTATTTGGTTTTCCCCTGACTTGTAGCTCTGACCTCCATTAGAGTAGAAGCTCCTGGGACATATTCACCTCCGTAGCTCCCTGTCTCCCAAATGGAACTCTGCACAAAGGTGGCAAGGAGAAGGTTTGCTAAGTATCGTGAGCAACAGTCCTTCCTCACCAGCCATACCTGATAGCAGCACCCCAGTTTTCTTCTAGGGCACACTCCCTTCCCTGCTCTCACCCATGTGCTCCATGTAAGGGCTCACTCCCTCCCCGGCTCCGAGCTGGACACATGGCCAGGCCCAACCAAGGAAAACATCACTTTCTCCAGAGCACACTTACTGGTTCAGGAATGGGCAAGTGACCATTCAAGGACTGAGGAGGCAAAGGAGACAGAAGCAGGGATAAAAGCAAGTTCTCTTCTGCTCAGGCTGCCAGAAGCAAGTCTGCGGCAGGCTTGAAGCTGCTGAAGACCTAGAATTAGCCAAAACAGTCGAAGACGGAGAGGATGGGAGAGGTCAGATCCTGGCAACATGCTTTAAGCCCCTGAAAGCAGCTGAGTCAGAAGCCATTTCTGCCACTGGATTCCTGAATCATCTGAGCAGATAGTTTCCATGTCTTGTCTAAGGCAATTAGAGTGGAGTTACCTGTCACTCACATCCAAGAGTCCTGACAAAAGAATGAATGAATGAATGAATGAACGGACCAGAAAACATTGGCATAGAGGAAAGGATTCTGTGCTAGGAGCCAAGACAGTGTCTTGTCATTTACTATGGGACCCTGGGCAAGTTCCCTGATGTCTCTAGACTTCAGTTTAGAACTCTGATATCTTTCATTTATTCAACATTTATGGCCATTCATCGTGCCAGACACCATGCTAGGTGTTGGCTCTTCTATGGTAACAAACCCTCATGGTTCCTGTTCTCATGGAAATGAACTTCGCTAGAAAAACAAAGTAACATTTCTGCATAACTGATTTTGTCACTGGGAAATCTGTTTGTGGTACAAGTCCCCAGCACTTAACTGGTAATGATCTTGTTATTCCTTCCACTCCTCATCAGCTATTATTGGGGTTAGCTGGAGGAGGGGCGGGAAAGAGAGCCTCTTATGATCAGGGAGGAGGGTACCCAGGCTTCACTTCCTACCAGAGCTCACGACCAATCAGAACTAATGTTTATGAGCCTAATTATACACAGTCCTGAGCTAGAGTGTGTAACAAGAGCCTGGCTTGGGCCTGGGTCCTCTCCTTTGGGACCTTTAAGAATAACCAACCTGCAACCAATTTTTTTGGCCTCTGACTTTTCTGACTCAAATACACTCATCAGCGTTCCCAAGATTCAGGCTTAGAAATGGAGCAACTTAAGCTCAATCGTTTTCAATTCTTGTTATAAAGAATAATGCCAACTGCAGCTGGAGTTTCATTTTTAAAGGAAATTTACAACTTGGGTTGAAGTGGCCAAATGTCCAACATAAATAAGCCCAGCATCCAAATGGAAGCTTGGCAGGCCCCAAATAACCAGAGTTCTATCCCACCTTCTAGGCTTTCATTTGCTCATTCACTTAACAAATAAATAGTTATTGGGGCACCTGGGCAGCTCAGCTGGTTAAGTGTTGCCTTCAGCTCAGGTCATGATCCCAGGGTCCTGGGATTGAGCCCTATGTCAGGCTCCCTGCTCAGTGGGAAGTCTGCTTCTCCCTCTCCCTCTGCCCCTCCTCCTGCTTGTGCTCTCTCTCCCTTCCTCTCTGTCAAGTAAATAAATAAAATGTCTTAAAAAATAGTTATCAAGTGTCCACTCTGCACCAGGCACCATGATAAAGCAGCAGCTGGTTCCTAAGAGGGCAGCCCACGGAGGGAAGAGATCCAGAGGCAAATACTCAAATAGAAGACCGTTTCTTGTATTTCCACCCGCACACCTGACTGAGCCCAGCCAAGTGTTATTAAATCAGCCTCTACTAATAAATCATTTCATGTGCCCTACTCTAAATATAGCACAGGTGCTTGCCTGTTCCAGTTATTATTGCTGCATTTTATGAGATTTTTTTTAAAGATTTACTATTTATTTGACAGATCACAAGTAAGCAGAGAGGCAGGCAGAGAGAGAGGAGGAAGCAGGCTCCCCGCTGAGCAGAGAGCCCAATGCAGGGCCCGATGCAGGGCTTGATGCAGGGCTCCGTCCCAGGACCCTGGGATCAGGACCTGAGCCGACGGCAGAGGCTGTAACCACTAAGCCACCCAGGCACCCCTTATTGCTGCATTTTAAAAATGACCTCAAAACTTAGTGGTTTGGTACTTAATGCCACCAAACTGCACGTTGAAAAATGATTTAGGGGCACCTGGATGGCTCAGTCCATCAACTGCCTTCCGCTCAGGTCATTATCCCAGGGTCCTGGGATCAAGTCCCGAATTGGGCTCCCTGCTAACCGGGGAGCCAGCTTCTCCCATTTGTCTCCGCCCCTCCATTCCTCCTGCTCATGCTCTCTCTCCCTCTCTCAAATAAATGAAAATTTTAAAAAACTAATAACAATGGTTAAAATGGTAAATTTTATATGTATTTTGTCATCTTAAAAATATTATGGGAGAATTCAAAAAAACCCGTAACGGTTTGAAACAACCATTTAACGAAGATCACAGATTCTGGGGGTGAGAATTTGAGGCAGGGCACAATGGCGACAATTCATTCCTGCTCCATGGTGTCCGGGCCTCAGAGAGACTCAAAGGCGGGGGTGAACTGGTGTCTGGGTGCTGGCATCATCTAGAGCCCTTACATTTACATGCCGGGACTTGGGACTGCCTACTGGAGCACCCAAGCGTGGCCTCTTCCTATGTGCCCTTCTCGCAACATAGTGGCCTCGGGGTAGTCAAACTTTCTATTTTCATTTATTTATTTTTTTAAGTAGGCTCCGTGGAGCCCAACACACGCTTGAACTCCCTTGAAATGACAAAGCTATTTTGGAGAAAGCTTTATTTAAAAAAAAAAAAAAAATTTTTTTTTTTAAAGAGTTTACTTATTTATTTGACAGAGATCACAAGTAGGCAGAGAGGCAGGCAGAGAAAGAGGAGGAAGCAGGCTCCCCGCTGAGCAGAGAGTCCGATGTGGGGCTCGATCCCAGGACCCCAGGATCATGACCTGAGCGGAAGGCAGAGGCTTTAACCCACTGAGCCACCCAGGCACCCCTATTTTGGAGAAAGCTTTAAAAGAAGAAAACCACAAACCGCTACCATTTGTCAGCGAAGACTATGCAACTGCAGGCCAAATAAAGGTCTCTGACCGGTACAGCTCCAGTTTTATTTATTGCCTCCGTGAAGTCTGCAGAGACTGTCACAGGTGGGGCCGTCTGGAAAAGCCCATTCACATAAACCCACACAGCCCGGTCCACCCCCGCGTGGATTCCGGGCCTGCGGTTTCTGCTTCCAACCCTTTTCCCACCCCTTTCCCGTCGGTCGCCCTGGAATGACGTCACAAGAAGGCGCGGAGACGCAGAAATCATCGCCTGCGCGTGCGCCGTGTGCAAGCAGCAGCCCCAGACTTGTCACAGAGCCTGGCGACCGCAGGGCGGCGGGGGTCCCAGTGCTGCTGCGGCCGAATCTGTAGCGTGAGGCGTCCTTGAGCTGAGGGGACCATGAACCGCAGTCGGCAGGTGACGTGCGTGGCCTGGGTCCGCTGCGGCGTGGCCAAAGAGACGCCAGACAAGGTAGGCCTGACCGCTCGGAGGTAGGGGGAGCGGCCTCTTCGCGGCATCCTCGTCCTGGCCCGCCTAGAGAACCTGGACCCGCTCCACGCGGCCTGGGCCTGGCTGGTGTGACTGGCCGGGGTGAGGCAGGCTTTGGCCTGATTGTGGTGAGGGGCCCTCCGGCTCCGAGTCGGGGGCCGCGCCCCCTCACGGTCTCTTCCCCCGAGTCCAGCCCACCCCCGAATTGGCGAGCACGTGGGCCTGGCGGGCGGGAAGGGGGCGGGGTGCTGCTCTCAGTGGGAAATCTCTCAACTTCTTACTGACAGCAGTGAGGCTTCACGCTCACTCTAGTGCGTGTTCAGGCATAGCGGGAAGAGGGAGCACAGGATAGTGGGAAACCACTTTCTACTCGTGTGCTTGGCATTCTGGGCAGGACGAGAGCTGTGGGGTAGAACAACTGGTATGGAGACTATGACGTCGTGAGGCTGGGCGCTGAATTAGGAATTTCTCGCAGTGATCCAAGTGAGATGTTGTGGCAGTGGGTGATGAGAGGTAAACCTGACACATTAAGAAGGAAAAAACCTGCAGAAGTTCGAGAATGAGTCAGTGGTAGAGGTGAAGATTATTTAAGTTGTTCAGCTGATATTTACTAAGTGCTTTCTGTGGGTTGGGCATTGTTCAGGGTCCAGGGGTAGGCATAAACAAAACAGAAAAATTCCCTGCCTTTATGGAGTTGACATGTGCATATATGTCCGTGGGAGTAAATGCTATGAATGGAAAGGGAGGGGGGACTGAATGTAATTGGGCCATTGATGACAGAGATGGGAAAAGTGATAGGAATGTAAGTGGCTGGGAGGTGAGGTTAACAGGAATGAGGGCTTGGAAGATTTAAATTCCACCAGGGGACAGACTGTGCTTGTTTTATTCACCAGTTTCTCCCGTGTTTGGCTCCAGTAGGTGCTCATTGCATATATATAGAGAGAGAAAGAATAGGGCCAGGAAATTATCTCAGTAGAAATTATTGAAGGAGGTAATAGTTGTTATTAAAAAGGGACATGTAACCTTTTAAAGACTATATGAGTTCCAGACATATCCACACACTGGAACCACTTGGGGAGCTTCAAAAAGTAGTGATGTCTGGGGCACCTCATGGGCTTCATTGGTGGAGCCTAGACTCTTTTTTTTTTTTTTTTTTTTTTTTTTAAAGATAAAGTGAGAGAGGGAACACAGGCAGGGGGAGTGGGAGAGGGAGTAGCAGACTCTCCACTGAACAGGGAGCCCAACGTGGGGCTCGATCCCAGAACCCTGGGATCATGACCTAAGCCAAAGGCAGATGCTTAACAGCTGAGCCACACAGGTGCCCCTCTTTTTTTTTTTTTTTTAAGATTTTATTTATTTATTTGAGAGAGAGCACATGAGCGAGGAGAAGGTCAGAGAGAGAAGCAGACTCTCCGTAGAGCTGGGAGTCCGATGCGGGACTCGATCCCGGGACTCCAGGATCATGACCTGAGCCGAAGGCATTTGTCCAACCAACTGAGCCACCCAGGCGTCCCGGTGGAGCCTAAGCTCTTGATCACAGGGTCATGAATTCAAGTGCCACACATCCGCCTGCCCCCATTGGGCTTGCAGCTTACTTTAAAAAAAAATACAGTGCCTGCGCCCCACTCCTGCATATTGTGATTTAATTGGTCTGGAGTGTGAGAAGATTCCCTCCCCCCACCACGTGATTTTAATTGCAGACAAGTTTGGTAACCACTCCTTGAAGAGTTTGCGTTTATTCTACAAAATCAAAATAGGAAGAAGAGATTATTCTACAAAATCCCAGAAAAACTGAGATCAGTGAGAGTAATTAGAAAAATAAATATCTTTTTTTTTAAGATTTTATTTATTTATTTGACAGACAAAGATCACAAGTAGGCAGAGAGGCAGGCAGAGAGGCAGGCAGAGAGAGAGGAGGAAGCAGGCTCCCCGCTGAGCAGAGAGCCTGATGCGGGGCTCGATCCCAGGACCCTGAGATCATGACCTGCGCATCAGGCTCTCTGCTCAGCGGGGAGCCTGATGCGGGGCTCGATCCCAGGACCCTGAGATCATGACCTGAGCTGAAGGCAGAGGCTTAACCCACTGAGCCACCCAGGTGCCCCGAAAAATCAGTATCTTAAAAAAAAATCTTTTAATTAATTTTAAAAGCCTTTAATTTCTGGAACAATGAATGTCCTCCCTCAGGAGGATTTCCATATTACTAGAGATGTTTAGTGCAAACTGAGTGATTGACTGAGTCATCGTCTATCATCAAGCATCCATCCCTACCAGGGGCTGAGCACTGAGTTATGTGTGTAAACACAGAACAAGAAGTTGATTTCTGTCTTCAGTGAGTTTACAGTTTCGCAATAATGGGATGTTTTAAAAGGTATTAAAGCATTGATTAGATGAAAGAATGCCAGTTTTGAAATAAAGAGAAGATTCCAATGATCCTTTTGAACAGGATTTCCCAAGTGGAGAGTCTTAAAGGCAGCTGGAAAGATGGAAGGGGGGGGGGGCGGGTGGGTGGCTCAGGAGGTTATGCATCTGACTCTTGATTTTGGCTCAGGTCACGATCTCAGGGTCGTGAGATCAAGAGTCCTGCAGGGAGTCTGCAAAAAAAAAAAAAAAAAGGAAAGAAAGAAAGATGCAACTGGAGTCTGGGGGCGCTAGAGAAGGATGAGTTAGGGGTAATCAGTTCCGAGGTGATAGTTTTAGTCTTCAGAATGAATGACCTTTGCAAGGAAGTGACAGCGTGTGACTCATAATGACTATTTGGCAGTGAGAACCAGGAAAAGAGCAGGCGACCAAGGCAGGGGTAATTTATTTAGGAATACTCACAGGGGAAATGAGAAGTAGCCAAGAAATCAGAATAGTTGAAAGAAAATGAGATGGACTGTCACAGAAGCCAGTTTATACAAATTAGTCTTTTCTGAAAACTCTGGGAGGAAGTAGACTGAGCTGCGTTTTTTCGGTTTTTGTTTTTTGTTTTTTAACAGTTTCAGGTGGGAAATGGATTTAATTATAAAGACCTGTGAAAATCCCATTTATGGTAAATTTAGGGAGTCTGGATTAAAGTTTGATTCTTGATATTTTTTTGAAGTTATATTTTACATTAGTTTGCAAACTTCTTTTTAACTCAGAGATTTATAAAGATTTCCTTAACTGTATGGTAATGAAATGTTTGCTCTCTTATAGGTAGAACTTAGTAAAGAAGAAGTAAAACGTCTCATTGCTGAAGCTAAGGAAAAATTACAGTAAGTTTAGGATTGTTGATGTCTAAAGTCAAGTCCAGATGAAATGTAAATTTCAAACAGTGATGATGAGGTGGTCTTATTGTCAGATGGTACCATTTGGGTGATTTCTCTTTTTTGTTCCTTGGCACAGAGAAGAAGGTGGCAGTGACGAAGAGGAGACAGGCGATCCTTCAGAAGATGGCATGCAGAGTGCACGTACCCAGGCACGACCAAGGGAGCCCCTGGAAGATGGCGACCCAGAGGATGACAGGACGCTGGATGATGATGAGCTGGCTGAATACGACTTAGATAAATATGATGAGGAAGGTGACCCAGGTTAGAGTTCACTTACTTCTGGTTTTTAATCACAGGCTCAGTGTATTAGATCATGCTTCTGCTGTTTCAGAGCTTTTGTTGTCCTTTATACTGGTCAAATAATCTGGCTCAAGTCCAAGGCAGATAACATGTTTCCTAAACTAGTTGAAGAAATTAGCTAACCTACTAAACTAAGACGTAAAAAAGCATAGTATTGTATATTTTATTGCAAGTGGTGGGTATGATCTGTAATTCAAGTTGGGGGATGGGTAAAGGGGAGTGGGAGATACAGGCTTCCAGTTACAGAATGAGTAAGTCTTGGGGATGAAAGCTACAGTATAGGGAATATAGTCAGAGATGCTGTGATCGCGCTCTGTGGTGACGGTTGCTACACCTGTGAGCGTGGCATGATGCATAGGAGATTAACACTGCGTTGTACACTTGAAACTAATACTGTGTTTCAGCTGTACCCAAATGAAAAAAAAAATCTGTAACTTGTGTCTCTTTGCAATAGTGAGAGAGGGGTTATTACCCCCATTTTGCAAAGAAAACTGAGGCTTACAAAGATGAAATGACTTTGCCAGGGCCACACAGTGCTGGACAGTGGAGCTGAGGGTTGAACATTCTGTTGCTGCAAAGCCTTTACTCTTAGAGTACACTTCATTAGATGCAGAGAATAGTTCTTTCCATTGGACTCTGAGTTGTGCACACCTACACTTGTGACCATCCTGCTAGGACAGATGCCATGGGAATACAGAGAAAGGAAGAGCTAACCCAGCCTGGAGAAATGGCATTCAGAAACGGCTTCTTGGGGCACCTGGGTGGTTCATTCCATTAAGCATCTGACTTCAGCTAAGGTCATGAGCTCAATGTCCTGGGATCATGCTCTGTGTCAGGCTCCCCGCCCAGCAGGGAGTCTGCTTGTCTCTTTCCCTCTGCCTCTCCCCCTGCTCATGCTCTCTTTCTCTCTCTCAAATAAATAAAAAAAAAAAAAAAAATCACTTCTTAATAATCTCCACACTGTGTGGATTATTGGCTTTCTCATCTAGTTGAAATTCCCATCTCTGTTGTTTATTAGATGTTTAAGACAGATTAGTCCTGTCTCCTGAAAGTAGCTTTCCCTAACAATTAGAGTATATTTCTTTCCTGAGTTTTATGTTATTTGGGTTCTACTCTAGGTCACCCTTGCAGATTCGCCATAGGAGAATTCTAATTTGAGATAAGTTTAGTGAGAAAGGCATAATAGCATCTCTTTCAGAGTCCTATAGCAAATTAGCATATAAGCAGTTCTTTTTTTTTTTTTTTTTTTAAGGATTTTTATTTTATTTATTTGACAGAGATCACAAGTAGGCAGAAAGGCAGGCAGAGAAAGAGGAAGGGAAGCAGGCTCCCTGCCAAGCAGAGAGTGAAGTGGGGCTCAATCCCAGGACCCTGGGATCATGAACTGAGCCGAAGGCAGAGGCTTTAACCCACTGAGCCACTCAGGCGCCCCACATATAAGCGGTTCTAATCTTGCAATAGAATAACCAATTTAACTTTGTGAAGCCCATCTTTTTTTTTTTTAAGATTTTATTTATTTATTCGACAGAGAGATCACAAGTAGGCAGAGCAGCAGGCAGAAAGAGAGGGGGGGAAGCAGGCTCCCTGCTGAGCAGAGAGCCTGATGTGGGACTCAATTCCTGGACCCTGAGATCATGACCTAAGCCAAAAGCAGAGGCTTAACCCACTGAGCCACCCAGGTGCCCCGACCCATCATTCTTATTTGATTTGACCAGGCAGCCCTTATTCTGCATCGATTCCAGTGTCGTAGGATAGTTTTCTGTCTTTTTAATAATAAGTACACTTTTTTTGTTGTTTTTTTTTAATTTACGAGGAGCAAGGAGGGACAGAGGGAGAGAGAATCTTAAGCAGGCTCCCTGTCCAGCACGGAGCCCGACTCAGGGCTTGATCTCAACCCTGAGATCACAATCTGAGCTGAAATCAAGAGTCAGACATTTAACTGACCAAACCGTCTGGGTGCCCCATAACTATACTTTTAATAATGACTATAAGGAGCCAGTTAGAAAATCTGAGCAAAGTGCTAGTATTTTCTAAGAGAGAGCTTTACAGTTTAATTTTAGTGGAACATTGTGAAGACCAAGACTATCAAGCATGCATTCCAGTATAAATGGTTTTTTTTTTTTTTTAAAGATTTATTCATTAGAGAGCATATGTGTTGAGGGGAGAGGGAGAGGCTTAAGCAGACTCCCTGCTGAGCACGGAGTCTGATACAGACCCTGAGACCATGACCTGTGCCGAAACCTAGAGTCAGACACATAACTGACTGTACCCCCCGCCACGTCCCCCTATAAATGGCGTTTAAATTCCTGTTTATTATCCAGTATTTCCTTTCCCACCTGTGGATGATCCAGTTAGTTATGAAACAGATAGTTGGAGCTAAGACGGGATACCTTAGGAAAATGCTTTTGTCGAAATGACTGTTCAATTTATGAATTCTTACAGATACTGAAACTCTCGGTGAATCTCTCTTGGGTCTTACAGTCTATGGAAGTAATGATCAAGATCCTTATGTTACTCTGAAAGATACGGTAAATATTTACGTGGCTTTTCTAATTATGCTTCTTAAGTGTTTGGAAAACCTTACCAAATATCTGCTTCTAGTTAATGACTTATTCTCTCCACTTAGGAGCAATATGAACGTGAAGATTTCTTGATCAAGCCCAGTGACAATCTGATCGTTTGTGGCAGAGCTGAACAAGACCAGTGCAATTTAGAGGTCCACGGTAAGTGGGAGACAGTCCTTGGGGAAAGGTTCTCTAAGATGGAAATAATCACTATAATAGCTACTATTGTGAATTTTCAGGCACAGTTCCTGGTGGATCTTATTTAAGTTACATGGTTAATTATATACAGTCCGTAGATACGCTGGTCGTTGTGCCTGGGCATGTGTGGTCTGGTATGTCGCTCGTACATGACTTATTTATGGAAATAGGTCTCCTGGTGTGTGTGTGTGCGTGCAGGTTTAGTATTTTTTCGAACATTTTTGCCAGTTTTTCACTCTCCCTCTCTCCACATTGGAGAAAACTTAGAAGGAAAGCCATATAAAAATACAGGAAACAATTACAGTCCTGTTACCGTGAGGTAACTTGTTGCCCTGACTTTTTACTCCAGTCTCTTTTCTGCGTACTTTTTCTTTACGTGGTGAAGATTATACTCAATAGACAGGTTTTTATTCTGCTTTTTCCCACAGTCCTTTCACATATTTCCCCTGCATTTCTTCACAAAAACTCAATGCAAGGGCTTCCATTCCTCTAGTCTCCTTTCCCAGTTCAAGGAATATTTGCACCACAGCCGGAGGTGAATGCTTTGAATCTGCAGTGGGCACTGATTTGAATTTTTCTTTTTCATTTGGATTTTTAAATCAGATGTATTTAATGTTGATATTTATTATGTCAACAAACATTAATTGAATAACTGTTTTCTAAAAAAATAGACCTTCAAGACATCTACAGTATTCTGCCTCTAGATTTTCCCTTCTGTTTTTCTTGTCCCTTCTCCTGTGCACATCCTCAGACATGTCTGTCCTTACTCAACAATCTTCTAATCATCTGTCTTTAAAATTTGAAGCTTTAAAGATATTAAGCTAAGGCCTTTTGCTATAGAAACACAGTTGCATAGCTTGAAAATTAAAATCTTTATGTTTAAATTTTTTTTTTTTTTTTTTTTTAATTTTTTTTTTTTTTTTTTTTTACATCTTCTAGGTTACTTTGTCACTTACTCCATTTCGTAGCTTGGATCTTTGGAAATCCTCACAATCCTTAAGACTGCCTTCAGGAAGTCTGTGGATTAGGCCATTTTGATCCCTGGCCCATTGTGGATCTATTTATAAAATGAAAAGGCTTTAAATAGCAGAAACGTCAGTGCAAAGTTATTCTTCTAATGATCTTTGAACTTTTTACATATTTCAAATAAAAACCATGTGGCAAAATTTTTAAAAAACCAATTCTAGAGGTACCTGGGTGGCCAGTGGGTTAGGCCTCTGCCTTCGGCTTGGGTCGTGATCTCGGGGTCCTGGGATGGAGCCCCGCGTTGGGCTCTCTGCTCGGCAGGAAGCCTGCTTCCCCCTCTCTCTGCCTGCCTCTCTGCCTACTTATGATTTCTCTCTTTCGCTCTCTGTCAAATAAATAAATAAAATCTTTACCAAAAAAACCCAAACAAACAAAACAATTCTAGGGGTGCCTGGGTGGCTCAGTGAATTAAGCCTCTGCCTTTGGCTCAGGTCATGGTCTCAGAGTCCTGGGATCGAGCCCCACATCCAGCTCTCTGCTCAGCAGGGGGCCTGCTTCTACCCACCGCCACCTGCCTCTCTACCTATTTATGATCTCTTTCTGTCAAATAAATAAATAAATTCTTTAAAAAAAGTTCGAATTTCAAAAATCGAAACTCTGTTTGCCATTGATTTTTGTACATTTTCCTTTTAGAGCTTACTGGAGTCATTCCTTTGTATTTAGTGAGTATTGGAGAGGGGTTAAGAAGTTAAAGCAGTGGTAGTCCTACTTCTTTAGTCTAATCGACATCATTAAAGAGACCCTTGGATCTGATGTGGATCTCCAAATTATTTAGCATATCTCTAGGCAAGAATAAATTCAAAATTGCACTCAAAAGCTGATCTGAATGTTGATTTGACATGGATAAAAGGAGATTATTTTACAGCTTCATCATCATTTTTTTTTTTTAAGATTTAATTTATTTATTTGACAGAGAGAGAGAGAAAGAGATCACAAGCAGGCAGAGAGGCAGGCAGAGAGTGGTGGGGGAAGCAGGCTCCCTGCCGAGCAGAGAGCCTGATGTGGGGCTCGATCCCATGACTCTGGGATCATGACCTGAGCCGAAGGCAGAGGCTTAATCCACTGAGCCACCCAGGTGCCCCTTCATCATCATATTTATCTAAAATGTTAGCTGAGTACTTTGACCATAGTTGAGGTTCTCGCAGGACCACAGGTTTTCCATTTTAAATATTCGTCATGAAGTGATAGGATAGAACGTGACTTGGAATCTGCTGATCCAGGATCTAACCCAAATGCAGAGGTTTGAGGAATTTTTGAAAAGTTTTTATTTAAATTCCAGCTAGTGAACATACAGTGTAATATTAGTTTCGGGTGTACACTACAGTGATTCAGCACCTCCATGCATCACCGGGGCTCCTCACAGCAATTGCCCTCCTTCGTCCCCATCACCTGTTGCTCCCAGCACCCACCCACCTCCATTCTGGTGACCATCAGTTCTCCACAGTTAAGGGTCTGTTTCTTGGTTTACAGTCTCTCTCTCTCTCTCTTTATTCCTGTTGCTTGTTTTGTTTCTTAAATTCCACATGTAAGTGAAATCATATGGTAATTGTCTTTCTCTGACTTATTTAGTGGGATACTCTCTAGCTCTATCCATATCCTCGCAAATGGCAAGATTTCATTCTTCTTTATGGCTGAGTAATATTCCTGTGTGTGTGTGTGTGTGTGTGTGTGTGTGTGTGTGTGTACACACACACACCACATCTTTACCCATTCATCAGTCAATGGACATTTGGGCTCTTTCCATAATTTGATTGTTGTAGATAATGTATAAATATAAACATCGGGGTCCATGTACCCCTTTACATTCATACTTTTGTATTCTTTGGGTAAATACCTAGTAGTGTGATTGCTGGATTGTAGGGTAGTTCTGTTTTTAACTCTCTGAGGAACCCCTGTATTGTTTTCTAGACTGGCTGCACCGGTTTACATCTCCACAAGCAGGGTTAGAGGAGGGTTCCCCTTTCTCCACATCCTTGCCAGCATCTACTGTTTCTTGTGTTGTTGGTTTTAGCCATTCTGACAGGTGCGAAGCGGTCTCTCCTTTTAGTTTTGATTTATATTTCCCTGATCAATGATGTGGAGCATCTTTCCATGTGTCTGTTGGCCATCTGTAGGTCTTCTTTGTAAAAATGTCTGTTCATGTCTGTCCATTTTTAAATTGGATTATTTATTTTTTGGTGTTGAGTTTTATAGGTTCTTTATATATTTTGGATACTGACCCTTCATTAGATATGTCATTTGCAAATATCTGCTCCCATTCTGTAGGTTGCCATTTAGTTTTGTTGATTGTTTTGTTCTCTGTGCAGAAGATTCTAATTTTGATGTAGCCTCTACGTAGTTTATTTTTACTTTTGTTTCCCTTGCCTCAGAAAACATATATAGAAAGTGGTCTGAGGAATTTCTTTAAAAAATTCTTAGCCTCTCTTAACTTTGCTTCTTTCTAATAAAAAGCATATTGGGGGGACGCCTGGGTGGCTCAGTTGGTTGAGCGGCTGCCTTCGGCTCAGGTCATGATCCCAGCGTCCTGAGATCGAGTCCCACATCGGGCTCCTTGCTTGGCAGGGAGCCTGCTTCTCCCTCTGCCTCTACCTGCCACTCTGTCTGCCTGTGCTCGCTCTTGCTTCTCTATGTCAAATAAATAAATAAAATATTTAAAAAAAAAAAAAAAAAAGCATATTGGGGAGCGAATTTCTGATTGTTTGGGCTGTTTTATCAGTGTTTCGTTGCATAATTTTTGAAAGACTTCTTAGTCATTGATTTTAACAATATCTTTGCTCCTTAACATTATAACTCTGAATGATAAAGAGCCAGTTGTTTTAGTTGTCGTATTCCGAAAGTGTTCTCAAGAGCTTTATTTACATTGTTGATCTTTAAATACTAAAGCAGTAATTCTTGACAAGCATTTAGATTTCTAAATGTGAGTTATTTCTCTCCAGCGCTATTTTTTATTTATTCTTATAGCCAGATAGACCTTTAAAAGATAATAATCAAATGCTCCCTATGGATCCCTTATGAGCATTTGTTTTCTGTAGTGGGTGGACTGGAGATAGGATTGTTCTAACCAGTGCACATGCCGATGGGGGCGTTCAGGCAAATGTCAGTTCTTTGCCACTGTTCCTGTTCCTTTGGAGCACACCAGGTGATAGGAATATATGAGACCTGCAGAATTTTGCTGAGCAGTAACACCTTGGGAGGCTCCTTTTGATGCCATCAGATGTGTCTCACTTTAAGCACACGGGCTTCTGTAGGTTTAACAGGGAGAGTGTATCCTTTTCAGTGGGATGTGATTTCTTATTCTGACGCAATAAAGTCTCATCCCAATGTTTTATATTTTCAGTTTATAATCAGGAAGAAGATTCCTTTTATGTGCATCATGATATACTGCTGTCTGCATACCCTCTCAGCGTGGAATGGCTGAATTTTGATCCCAGTCCAGATGATTCTACAGGTAATTAGAAAAGCTAAGATGGCTCAGGGGTTCCTAGTCCTGTATGTTATTTCTAGCCACATAAGTTATGTATTCTGTATGAATGTTTTCAGAATTGTTGATTTTTAAATGAAATTGTTATTTTATGAAGTTACATTGTTAGTTCTTAAAACACAATCACGTAATTGTTTTGAGTCTGTGTGTCTTCAGACGTCAGATAAAGAACTGCTACTGCTGTAGGCAGAAGAACAGGCTAACAGCATTAGGAGCTGCAAAACGGTGTGAAGTAAACCCAGTAGAAAGTAGCACGGCCCAAGAGTTTGGCGGCATGACCTTTCTTAGAAAACTTCAAGTAAAACCAGACTGAAGAGAGAGTCGGTTCTTGTGTTAGTTGCCATAGCCCCAGCTGCACACTGCTAGTTGCCCCATCCTGCTTCTTAAGAAAGGTAAAATCTGGTCCTGCTCAGCCTTAACGTCTCGTTTGCCGAGCTTATTCACATTCATGGTCTGATTCGGCCCCAGTTTTCACAACACTGGTGAAGGTGGAAGATGATTTTGTTCTTAGAACCTAAGTAGGGACCCTGGGGTCAAAAGGCTGAGCCCTTTTTATTCAAATTATGGTCCAAGGGCCAGCAGCACCGTACAGGCATCACCTGGGAGCTGGTCAGAGTGCTTATGTAGGGGTGCGCCCCAGCCCTCCTGAAACGGAATATACGTTTGAACGATATTCAGGTGACAACACATGGATGTGAAAGTTTGAGAGAAAGTGCTCTAAGATATCACTCAACCCACGGTGCAGTATTTTTCATTAGAAATGTTTCAAATCCAATACCTCACTTCCTCCTGTAGGAAATTATATTGCTGTGGGAAATATGACCCCCGTTATTGAAGTGTGGGACCTTGACATAGTGGACTCTTTAGAACCGGTCTTCACTCTTGGAAGTAAGCTATCGAAAAAGAAGAAAAAGAAAGGGAAGAAGGTAAACAAGTCAATAATTACTTAAACTCTCATGACAGAGTTTACTGGTGGGGTGGAGGCAGGAGAACATACAGTCTTTCAGTTAGACGCTTTGACAGAACAGGACAGATATTGTCCATAGTTGTGGTTTCAAAAGGCCCATCCAGGGAAGCATGGATCTCTGATTGCACAGAACGTCATCGGTACGTTATTCATCCTTCCCCAAACCACTTATTCTCGGGTTATGACCCTTTTTGATATAGTAACTGTTCACACTAATATGCTTCTTGGAATTTTTGAAAGAATTCTCTTTAGCCTTTAGTACGTTGAATTCTAAATATCATTGTATTAATTCCTGCAGCTTTTAAAACTTAACTTTGCGGTGGGGGTGGTTATTTGTAGAACTCTACTACCTAGATTAAGAACTGTTATAGTTTGTCTTCTGTAAGGAGTATTTATCCCGGATCCCTAAAGTAACAGAAGGCAAGGTGTTTCTTTAGGTCTTCAGGCAAGTTTGCTGAAGATCAAACAGTAATCTTAAGATTTAAAGAATCTTTCAAATTAAGATCAATTACAGGGGTCACTTTAATACAAAAAGTAATGAAACAATTATTACAGAGTTCCTCAGCAGAGGGGCATACCGACGCTGTCCTGGACCTTTCTTGGAATAAGCTGATCAGGTAAAAAATAACATTTGGAGGGTTGTTAGAGACTGTAACCACCGTCATCTTACCTCATGCCTACCCCTGTCTCCACGTCCTGTGTTGGGGTCTCTGTGTCTTCCTTTCCTTTCCTGCAGTGTATGCCACTTGAAGGCAAGGGCTTTGCCGTCTGTGTCCTCACAGCCCCCACATTACCTGCCAGCTCCAAGGTCTGTAGGGGCTCGGGCTCGTTACAGACTTGGTGACCAAGCGCCCTCCCAGCAGCACTGGGGAAAAAACTGCTTCATTGCCAGTGGTGCCAAATTGTGTTTCTTTTTATGGAAGACATTTCCCTCACTTCGTTTAATTTGCACAAAATCTCATCCAAATTTTTTTTCAATTGATAAAATATATGTAATATTTAACATTTGAACTATTTTTTAAGTGTATAGTTCAGTGGACATTGTTGTGCAGTGTCCAACTCCAGAACTTCTGTCATCTTCCAGAATTGAAAGCATGTATCCATTAAGTAATGACTCACCATTCTTGGCGCCCCCAGGCCCTGGTAACCTTTGTGTCTCTGTAAAATCCACTCCTGCAGTTACCTCATAAACGTAGAATTATATAGTATCGGCCCTTTGGTGACTGGCTTATTTCACTTAGCATGAGGTCCTCCGGGTCGTCGCATGTGGCAAGACTGCCTTTCTCAATGTCCGAATGACATTGCATTGTTCGGATCACCCACATTTTGTTTTTCCATCTGTCGGCGAACGCTTGGGTTGCTCCCACCTCCTGGCCGTTGTGAGCAGTGCTGCGGTTACGCACATTGATGTAAATAACGTGGGTGTACAAATATCCCAGCTTTCAGTTCTTTTGAGTGTCTCCCCAGAAGTGAAATTGCTGCTTCGTGTGGCAGTTCTGTGTTCACCATTTTGTGGAGCACTTTTCAGGTGCCTGTTGGCCCATTTGTGTTTATCTTTGGAGAAATGTCTTTCTAAGTCCTTTGCACATTTTTGAATTGAGGTTTTTGGTTTTTCACTGAGTTGTAGTTCTTTATATAGTCCAGATACAACCTCTCATCAGATACGCGATTTGCAAATATCTCCCCCCATCTGACGGATCACCTTTAACTCTTTCTATAGTGCCCTTTGACGCACAGAAGTTCTTAATTTTGATGTAGTCAATTTATTTTTACTTTTGTTGCCTGTGCGTTTAGTGTTCTATCCAACTAATCTTTGCCAGTTCCTTGTCATGAGGTTCTTACCTTGCGAGTTTTATAGTCTTAGCTCCTACATTTAGGTGTTTGGATCCATTCTGAGTTAAGTGTTGCGTACAGTCGAAGGTAAGAGTTCCACTTCCTTCTTTTACATGTGTCGCCTGCATATTCTTTATACTCATCCTTAAACAGCAGTTACCCCAGAAGGCCATTTTCCTAATAGCCTGGTTGGTTTGAGGGGCTTCTAAGGCAAGGAAGGTAAGCATCGGGTTGAGCTTACTTGAGGCGTAAGAACAAACTGGGTCACCCAAGGCCCATTTTCTCAACATCTCTGTTACACAGGATACTTTGTAATTGTGAGCCCTGTGAGGAGGGTCCCAGAGTGCTGGCTTACCGAGGGAGATCCTGTCTTCCTGTTTGCGTTCAGACCTCTTCAGAGTTAGAACCATTTGGTGAGGGGCACCTGGCTGGCTCATTCCGTAGCGTATGCGACTCTTGATCTCAGGGTTGTGAGTTCAAGCCCCACATTGGGTGTAGAGATTACTTAAAAATAAAATCTTTAAAAAAAATAAGTAAAGGTTAAATTCCTGGCCTCTAATCCCCTTAAGATTGAGTCACATCTGGAGCAAGGGCCCAAGAATCTGTTGTGTTGTTTTGTTTTTTAAAACTTCCCCAGGTTTTGGGCGCCTGGGTGGCTCAGTGGGTTAAAGCCTCTGCCTTCGGCTCGGGTCGTGATCTCAGGGTCCTGGGATCGAGGCCCGCATCGGGCTCTCTGCTCAGCAGGGAACCTGCTTCCTCCTCTCTGCCTACTTGTGATCTCTCTCTCTCTCTCTCTCTCTCTCTCTCTGTCTAAAAAAAAAAAAAAAAAAAATCTTAAAAAAAAAAAAAAAACTTCTCCAGGTTTTATCTGAATTGGGCCCGTTCTTAACTAATGGGCAGACAAATAAGAGATCGGAATGAGTGTGCCCTGCTTTTAGGAACCCAGTTGTTTATAAATCTGACCTGTCATGGTAATTATGTATACTAAATTCTTACATATAGTAGCTGTTAATTTGAGTAACTGAGTTTGTTCTGGCGGAACAATCCCTCATCACTTCCGGCTGATCCAGCAGTGCCTTTGCCCAGCCACAGCTCCCGAGCTCCGTGCGGACGCTGCCAGCACCAGTGCCCCTGCTGCTTCGTGACTGCAGGGCCACCCGTGTCTTTGCTCCTTAACTCCTCTACTTTCTCCATCTTATTACAGACCTTGGTTCTCCTTTCCCCTTTCTTTACTGAAAAGGTACAGAATGCTTTTAAATACTTGCCATACATGCCCTGGTGCACAGAAAAGTTTGGGATGTCGTGAAGAATAACATGTTGACCTTGTTCCTAGTTGGGGAAGTAAAATGCTCCCGGGACCAACATGCATGTTCTCTGCTCATTCATACTCTTATTGTTGTACTCTTCTTGGGAGTATAGCATTCGGGAGTTTGGGGGGCTGGTAATTTATTTTGAAGCCTGATACACTAAGAATTTTAATATGAAAGGAATCTCAGGTGTTGGGAGAAGGACTAGGATGAAAAATGTACCGTGAAATTTTAACTTTTTGCTGTTGGCAGGCATTGAATATAAACAAAATATTGGGAATTTAAGTAACATTAAATCTTTGACCCGCCGAGGACTTAAAACATTAATGACTTGTATATGGGACTTAATGGTAGAAATTTGAAATTCATTGATTAGAATGAAATAATATATATGATCCTCTAAGAGACCCTGCCTGTGTTACTGAAATGTGAGTTATAAAACAGAAAGCAGTTTGTATAATGGAAGTATTTCTTGAGGAAATAATACTCCAGAAATGGACCCATCAACATTTTATTTTAACAGCATATCAATTTTCTGGACAAATATTATGATCACTAATGACTTAATTCTATGTCAGAGCCATTTCAAATCAGATAGTGAAGAATGAGGTTCCAGGAATATCTATTTTTACAAAGAGGAAAGACAGGCAACTAACATTAATCAGGGACCTCCTGTATTCCGGTCACTCAGCCATGTACTTGAATAGTAACCCTTTGAAGCTGGTTGTAGCATTCTCATCGGCAGGCAAGGAAGTGAGACTGACTTCTAAGACCTATGATTAGTAAATGGCAGCACCAGGAATCCTTTTCAGGTTTTCTGGGCTCTGAGGCCTGTGTTCTCTTGTAGAATGACACTATTAGCACTTGCTCCCTAAGAGGTAGGCAAATTGTTTTTTCTTATTAATAGCATTTAATGCCTTTTTTTTTTTTTTTAAAGATTTTATTTATTTATTTGTCAGCGAGAGAGAGCAAGCACAGGCAGACAGAGTGGCAGGCAGAGGCAGAGGGAGAAGCAGGCTCCCTGCCAAGCAAGGAGCCTGATGTGGGACTCGATCCCAGGACGCTGGGATCATGACCCGAGCTGAAGGCAGCCACTTAACCAACTGAGCCACCCAGGCGTCCAATGCCCTTTTTTATTTAAAAAAAAAAAAAAAATCGAGATATAAAATCACATATCATGAAATTCAGTCTTTAACGTGTACAATTCAGCAACTTGGGGTGTATTCCCAAAATTGTACACCTGTCTCCACTGTCTAATTCCATAACATTTTCATCAGTCCAGAAAAGCAATCTGTACTATAAACGGTCATTCCTCCTCCTCCTGTCCTTCCAGCGCCAGGCAGCCACTAATCTTCTTTCTGTCTCCCTGGATTTGACTGTCTGGACATTCCTTCTTAGAAAAGGAATCATAAAATATGTGGCCTTCTGTGTCTGGATTCTGTCACTTTTGTATAATGTTTTCAAGGTCCATCCTGTTGGAGCATTAATTAGTACATCGTTCCTTTTTACTTGCTTGAATGGATATACGACATTTCATGTATCTGTTCACCAGTTAATAGACATTTTGTTTGTGTTTGTTTTTTGCCTATTTTGAATAATGCTACTGTAAATATTAGTGGACAGATTTTTGCACAGACCTGTTTTTATTTTCTAGGATCTATACCTAAGGAGTGTAATTTCTAGGCCATATGGTAGTGTCTATACCATTTCCATTCCCACCAGCATGGTAGCTGATTTTTCTGTTTTGCTAGCACTTACTATTTTTTGTCTTTTTCATTGTACCTGTCCTGTGAGTATGTAGTGGTATCCCATGTTTTCATTTTCATTTCCCTAATGAACAACTTTTCACATGCTCATTTGCTATTTATAGATCTTCTTTAGAGAAATGTCCATTCATATTCTTTGCCCATCTTCTGATTAGATTATCTTTTTATTATTTGAGAGTTCTTTATATATTCTAGAATCAAGTCCTTTATCAGATATGACTTACAAATAATTTTCTCCCATTCTGTGGTCTTTTCACTTTCTTGATGATCTCATTTACAATACAAAAGGTTTTCATGTTGGTGATGTCCAGTTCATTTATGTCTTTTGTTTCTAAGGCTTTTCATGTCATACCTAAGACATCATTGCCTAACCCAGGGTCACAAAGATTTATACCTGTTTTCTTCTGAGAGTTTAATACTTTTAGCTCTTACATTAGTAGGTCCATGATCTATTTTGAGGTCGTATGAGATAGAGGTCTAACTTCATTCTTTTACATGAGGATATCCAGTTGTCCCCGAGCCATTTGTTGATAATACTGTTCTTTTCTCCATTGAACAGTAAATAATCTTAACATCTTTGTCAGAAACAAATGACCATAAATTTGAGGATTTATTCTTCATTCTATTCTGTTAACTGGAATGTCTGTCCTTAAGCCAGTACGAAATTGTTAGGATTATTGTGGCTTTTCAGTCCATTTTGAAATCCATACTGTGAACTTTTCAGCTTTGCTCTCTTTTCCAAGATTATTTTGGCTGTTCTGAGTCCTTTACATTTCCCTATGAACTTTTTTTAAAGATTTATTTATTTTAGAGAAAGTACATGCAAGTAGGTGGGATAGAGGGAGGAAAATAAATCCCAAGCAGACTCACACCAAGTGCAGAGTCTGATGAGGGGCTCGATCCCATGACCCATGAGATCACAACCTGACCTAAAACCATATGTTGGATATGCAACCAGCTGAGCCACCCAGGCACCCCTCCATATGAATTTAAAACCAGCTTGTCCATTCTTTGCAAAAAAAAAAAAAAAAAAAAAAAAAAAAAAAAAAAAAAAAA